AAAAAATTTTCTGTAAAAACGAGGTCATAAAAAAGTATAATAACAAAACTTTACTATGAGTAAATTCTTCCTTTCTTTTTGCCTAAAACTGAACAACATTCTTTCTGTTTCCAAGAGACTATATTGCTTTAATACTAACAACTTATAGACTATTAATCAATTCAGGTAGAACAGCTGATCTCAATGCAAAAAAAAAAAAAAAGAAACGAAAGAAGGTACAGTGAAGAAACGTCAAAGACGATTTATTTTTAAGCTAATGCAGTTAAAGAAAAAAAAAGACTGAAAAAGTTGTTGAATTTAAGTAATTTACTGTTAAAACTGGACAATATTTAAAGCGTATAGTTCTTCGTCAGCATACCAAAAAATGCAAAAAAAAAAGAAGGTGTTCGTTAAATTATAAACATATAATAAAATTAACCTGAAAACGTAGATCACCAGTTGGTGCTTTAGCATATGGTATTCCTAAGAAGACATTTACATGACGATTATTTCCAATTTTATATTTTTTACCACGAACTTTACCAAAGTTTGTTTCATGTATTGTAGTTTTTACAAAATCTTCGTTTGCCTTTGCATATGCCGAACCCATTAGTCGTTAAAACTGAAAATGAAAACGGTATTATCTGCAACAGTTGTCTTAAAGTTAACAGATTATTATTATTATTAATATAAAATAAATTCTAACTAACATATCAAAGTGCAAAATTGTTGTCGTATAAAAACTTTTAAAAAAAGGCAATTCAATCATACATACGGTGGTATCTGAGAAATTAAATCTTATAAGTTATTGAAGAAAAAACTGCAAAGAAAAAGTTTGCAACTGTAAATTGGTTTTATTAATTTTGTTTAAAAACAAGCAAAGAATTTATTTTGAAGTTAGAGCATAAAAAAAAAAGTGAGTAGATAAATAAACTGCAGCTAAAGTTGATCAAAACTTTCAATGTTGTTTTAAAACGCTAAAATTACTGCTTTAAATTATACTCTAAACAAAAATTAGTTTTATACAAAGGTATTCAAGTATCAACTGTTGTTGTTGTATTCGTTAATTAATAATATTTTTTAATTAATATTTGAATATCAAAAAAAAAATGTATACATATAAATAAAAACAAAAAAAAAAAAAAACAGTAGAAATATTTCTGCTTTATACAGTGGCGCAATATCATAGTATAAAATATGAATAGCAGTTAGTTGAAGAATTACTTCAGCAGTATGTTCAACAGCAACGATACGTTTAGGTTTAGTCAGGAAGATAGTCGATGAAACAACACTTGGCACTAAAAACCGAACTGGATGGGGATGGATGGCCGTTCATCTTATGTGACACCACACTCGTCAAGCAACCTCGAACTTCAGAGAGTAAACATTTGAGAGCAACAAAAATTGTTAAGTACAACTTCGGTGAATGATTGCAATGGAGGTAAAAAAATTATATATATATATTTATATATAAAAAACAGGAGTTGTCCTCTTGGATTATTGATTACTAAATCCTTTTCATGCAAAAAAAAAGAAGGTAAAATTGAAAAACCAAAAAAAAAAAAATGTTTACTAGTTTTCTT